ACTGTAAGCCACTGTACAGTGCTAACTATACAACTACAAACAAACAAACAAACAAACAGATGCATAAATGAATACAGCGAGTTTAATGATTCATATCGCGAGGATTCTGGCGGGAGCAGAATCTGACTGGAATGCTGAGCGGCTTCGCAAACTGCCATCCATTAAGAACCGTTAGGCGAAATGAGGAAATATGACTGCATGCGTTAATGTGATGATTATTATTAAAACATTACATTTTCAAAAGCCATTTTTAAAGGCTTCCAGACAAGCTCTGACATATTCTCTTTCTTAATGGAATTTTAACTGGAAAACAGAATCTTAACAAAATAAATTGTATTTTAAGTAAAACCAGGTTATAAACCCAATTACCCGATATTATCTTGCCAGAAAAGTAAAGACTCCGCACTAAACAGAACCCGCATTTACAAAGGATATTGGAAAAAGCATAAATGAACAATGCTCTTCATTACAGTGCTTTGCAGCAGCATGACGAGTCCATGTGTCCTGATGGTGACCTTGATTCTCTTTCACACTGAGTGCCATGTTGCCCCCCTTCTTGCAAAGCATTCTGGGATACTTGGCCTTTGCAAGAATTACACAACCGCATTTCACCTGACCACACTTTCATTGACCAGTGACATGCTGGATGAGCACGCTCCCGCGAGACGGTGTGCAGAGGGCAGTCGGCGTCCTCCGCGGCGAGCGGAGATGGCTCCCTCAGCCTGTGCCGTGTTGGGATACGGATTTCCCAGCTCTGTCACCTGACACTGCTCCGCCGGAAACTTAACGCCGGCATCCGAACATTAACTTCAGAGTCAACACTATGTGTTGGCAAAATGGGCCCAACAGCTCAAACCGGGGCCCTCATTAGGAGTTAGGTGACTTCCTAGAAAAACTACCATCAACTCCCTCGCCCCAAGCCACCCTGTTTGCTCTCTGGGGGGTGTTAAGGTCAGGATTAGAAAAGACCTAACTGGACCAAAATAGGAAAGAGTTTCCACACTTTGGCGCCAGCTCCCTCTACTGACCCCTGCTGGCACGTGGCGGCTCGCGGGAGCCACTAATGCCCTGAATTAAAGGCTAAGGAGAAGGAGAAGCGATGGCGGGAGAAAATACTGATGTCTGTTTAATGCAGATAAGAGAGACGCTGCCCTGGGCAAGACTAACAAAAGGAGGCTGGAAGGGAGGGGGCTATGGGGTGGGGGGCAGGTCCTGAGTGCTTTGGGAGAGGCTTAAGTAGGCCAGTGTGGAGAGTCAACTGTGGGCTCATCTTTGGAAAAAATTCCAGGCCTGAATACAGCCCACCTCTTCCCGAC